GCTGCGTGACTGACAGCTGGCTCTGCCTATCTAGAGGCAGAGCCAGCTGTACCCGCCCCCTCCCCCGTCCGTTCCGCCAGTCAGCGCTGGAGGATCGGAGGGGGGAAATCCCTGCAGGGAGCCGTGAATGACAGTCACCGCTCTCTGCAGGGAGAGGTGAGTGAGCGGCGGTATGTGTTCGCTCACTTCCCAATCTATTGAGACGACGTGTGAGTTTCATTGTCACACGTCGGCTCGAACTATGAGGTGAGTGATTTTCACTCACCTCATAGTTCTCCTTTTAAGTTGAAACCGGAGACTGGTACCGCGATCACATATAAGAGAAGTACCTAGTGCTCATAACCCACTGATATGTACAGGGAGGGCAGAAGTGATTCAGTCACTCTGGAGTTTGACAGTCGCACACGGATGAGCAGATTTGTAGTTTGCAATGACAAGAAGGAATGATGTTTACTTCAATGCCAGAAGTTTACCACTTTATTTTCTCTGCCTTCTAAGGTATCGTGGCGTTGATTGAACTTCCCAAGCGTTGTGTGGCAGCAGCAGTTGGAAAAGATTTGAGTGAGTTGTTTGTGTTGAAAGAAAAACAAAAAAGTAACTTTCAGGTTTGTGATTTAATGGAGCACCAAACCCAATGCGGAAGTGAATTTCTAACTTTTGCTGCCAATTTGTGATAACACCTCGTTTATATTTATGCATGAAATGCTACGCGCGTTCATGCATGAGTCAGCACACTGGCCCTCATTTTAATGGGTCCTCAAAATATGAAATTTGACCTTTTATAAAGTACCGGGATTTACATATTAAGGTCCCCACACACCTTGCGATAATCGTACGATTACGGTAAGGTGTGTGGAAGCCGTGCGACCTCTACTACTGTAAGGTCGCACAACTTTTAACTTACGGGCATGTTCGAAAACCCGCCGAGAATCGTACGATGTTCGGCGGGTGTGTAGCATGTTCGTACGATAAACGCCGGACGGGCCGGTGTGCGCAAGCACTGCCCGTTCGGCATTGCGGTCATCGGAAGCCCGCCCCTCAAGGGCTTGTGATCATCGCAAGTACGATCTGCCTGTCCAAGATGGGCAGATCGTACGGTTTTTTTATTACCTTACAACCATCACAAGTCTTGCGATGGTTGCAAGGTGTGTACCCGGCATTACACAGATATCGTCTCCATTCCATAGAAACAAAATAATACATTTCTGGTTTTGTGTTCAGTTACAAAGTAAGTCTGTTTAGAAATATTATATTTCTGTACGTCTGACATTACTGTGTGTACATTTATTTCCCTTTTTTTTTCTTTTTTAGTAATCTTTAAAATCGGCCCTACTGTCCCGGGATCAGATAAATGGGATATTGTTATAATTAAACGCCTTTCAGGTCACCGGGATGTTGTTCGGACCGTGATAAATGTCAACGGTTAGTATTCTTTCTTTTATCACTCGGTGTATATAATAATCCGCCCACTCGGTGTATATAATAATCCGCCCACTCGGTGTACATACATACATAGGATAACAATTATTATCAGAAACATAGATCCCCCCATATAATTCTTAGATACGCCGCCAAAAGGTATACAGAAATACCAGAAAAGACGATGGGGGAATTCATAAAAACTGGAGCAGACAAATTCTGGAGCAGTTGTGCACGGCAACCAATCAGCTTCTCTGTTTCATTTTCAAATCTTACCAGAACAAGCTGAAGAGAGAAGCTGATTGGTTGCCGTGCACAGCTGCTCCAGAATTTGTCTGCTCCAGTTTTGATAAATTCCCACCAATGTATACATATCCAGTTTGATCTTGAGAAATTCGCAATGAAACCAAAATTGTAATCTTTCTGGCTGGCTTGCGTATCGGCTCCCCATCAAACTTTATTGCTATCACATAAGGGCGCCAAGTGTAAAAAAATTATTAAAAAAATGTTTATTGTAGTTTTTTTGTGGTTTCTCGGACGCACAATTTTATGTCTTGACATGTTTGGTATCTAATTACCCGACGTTACCCCGTCTTTTATATTTTACCCCCAAAAATGGGTATTCTGTTTCTGTGCACAAAATTTCATTTTAGTGTATTTTGTCCTAAAAATATCGGTTTGATAAACATTTGCGCTAATACCGTGTGACATAAAAAATTGCAACTAGCATTTTTTTTTTAGTTCTATAGGAACCCTGCTTTCAGAAAATATATCCTTGTTTGGGGGCCTGAAGCTGTTTTTTAGCAAAAAATTCAGATTTTATCATGTTTGAACAAATAGTAAGAAATTGCTCCGGGCAGCAAGTGGTTAAACAACTGTAGTATCACTGTAAGGCCACGTTCACATATGGCGACTTCCGCAATATCGCGCATGTTTGCCGCGCGATATCGCGAGAAGTCGACGGCCAATGCTATTCAATGGAGCTGTCTTAACTCCATGTCGCGGTCGCAAGTCGCTTCTACCGGACCCTTTTTTCGGCGGATTTTGCGCGATTTTTCTTTTTTTCTATGGAGCCCGACGGAGAAGGTCGCGCTACCGTCGCTGGATCGTCCCTGGAACGCAAAGGTATGTCGCTACATGTGAACGGGGTCTAAAAGATAAGTCAAGGGAACTGCGCTTGCTGTATTTTTCTTGAAGACGTTTCACTAGTCATCCGACCAGCTTTCTCAATCCAGAATGACTTGTACAGAAAATGATCTGGGAATAAATATGGTGAATAATAGAAAAACGTCACCAGCCCACCGCAAGTTGAAAAGAGCCAAATGTTCATTTATTGCCAATAGCTGTATCTCATTGGCATTGGGGGTATGGCATTGCCAATGAGATACAGCTATTGACAATAAATGAACATTTGGCTCTTTTCAACTTGCGGTGTGCTGGTGACGTTTCTCTATTGTTCATGTGTGGCGGCGCCATCCGCGGTCATTTCGAGCACCCATCCTCATTAGGTGGGAATCCCGGTAAGGAGTGCGGTATGGTTCCTTTTTCTGTCTAAATATGGGAAATGTTGCTCCAATCCACATAATCTGTTAGTGTTGATTCTTTTTGCATAATTGGAGGTGTTATGATTCTATTCAAGCTTGGCGTCTCCATTTTTACATAAATTACCTCTTTTGAACCAGTCCTCCTCCCTGTCTAGGATGCGTAGTTGACTGTTTTCAGAGGAGTGACCTTGTTCCTTTAGATGTGGGTACACTGCTGAATCCTGACCAGAGCGTTTGACTCTTCTATGCTGTGCCATACGCTGGTGTAGTTGCTGTTTTGTTTCACCGACATACAATTCTGAGCGCTCCTCGCTGCACCGAACTGCATACACAATGTTGTTCATCTTGTGTTTTGGCGTTGGGTCTTTTGTGTGAACCAGTTGTGTCCTCAGTGTATTGCTGGGTGTAAAGCAGACGGGGATGTGATGTTTTTTAAAAACCCTTCTGAGTTTCTCAGACACCCCGGCTACATATGGGAGGACCAAATTCTTCCGTTTGTCATGCTTTTCACCCTCTGGTACTCTTGGCATTCTTTCTTCTTCTTTCTGTTTTGACAAAAGCCCAGTCCGGATACCCGCAAGGCCCCCCTGAGGTGTTTGAATTCCTTGGCTTATGTTTTTTTACAAATATTCCTTGACCTGGGTGAATGAGAACCTTCACAGACTGCTGTAGTCTCAGGCTGCAACATACAGTAACACAATTGAGAAAAGTGAAGGGGTTGTGAATACTTTCTGAATGCACTGTGTATTGTGTTTATCATTTCATTGAATGACCTTGTTTGGCATCTGATGCAGCTTTTGGTTTTCTACCCTCAGAGATGACATTCGTGAGCAGCTGCGATGCTGGGGAGATGGTTGTGTGGGACGCTTTAGACTTCTCTGTCCAAGGTCGTGAGAGAAACTTCCCGCACATGTATGCACAGCAAGACTCACCGCCAGAGAGGAGGCAGCTGCCGACACAAGAGGAGGTTTCCATCCAACATCTGTCGTCTGATGGAGAGGTCTGGTTTATGTTGTTATTTCAGTTCTGATGACAGATGTGTAAATTTTTGAACCATAAGGCCTCATTCACACTACAAAATGCCGGCACGTACAGCTCCGTGCTGCGTGCACGGCCGTATCGGGCAGGTTCCGGGAAGGACAGGTGCTGCGTGTGATTAGTACGCAGCCCCCGTCCTTCTCTATGGGAGTACACCGCCCTACACTCACCCGCCCTGCAAGTCCGTGTGGGTGTCCGTACTCATATGCTGACAGGATGGATCCTTTCCTGCCCGAGGCGGGACACCCGCACCCGTACGGACCTGCACTCGGGGTGAGCATAGGGCGGTGTACGGCCACATACTCCCGTAGAGAAGGACAGGGGCTGCGTACTAATAACACCCACCACCTGTCGTTCCCGGGAGCTGCCCGATAAGGCCGCGCACGCAGCACGGAGCTGTACGCGCCGGCTGATTACCGTGTGAATGAGGCCTAAGAAGTATTTTATTTACCAAGCCTGTTTTGCTTTATTCTCAGTTTTAACCCCTTAGCATCCAGGTACATAAATATTACGTCATTGGCAGCTGGCCCGTTTAAACAGTCCCGCCGGGGCTCTGTTTGCAATTGTAAAGCTGGCTGTCAGCTTTACAATAGAAGCAATTCTATTGGCTTATAAGCCCTCCCTGTGTGATAGCAATTACAGTAAAGTAAAAAAAAAACAATTTAGATACACCCGCAGATCCTGCAAGCGATCGGGCGTCTCTAGAGACGCCTGACCGCTTGTATGTAAACAGCCATCGCTGGCTGTTTACATGCTGACGGTTTTCCCTCTCGTGTGCGGCGCTCAGCGCGGACACGAGAGGGGGGAGGGGCAGGACGTCTTAAGACGCCCTCCCGCTCTCAGCAGACGTCCATCTGGCCGTTCACAAACGGCCATGGACGTAAGGTAGTTAAATAAAATAAATGTCAAAATAATGTAAAAAAAGAATTAAAGTCCCCCACGAGCACACGCGTATTCACATAAACGCGCGTCGTGGTACAAAAACGAGGATCGCGCTACACATGTTGGGTATTGCCACACACAACAGAGTGAGGGCAATAATTCTAGGGCCAATGTTTATACATATCTCTAAACTGATGACCTGTACAGGATCTTAAAGCGTCGTGTATAGACTTTTTGTGGTATTGAATTTTGTCGCCATTTCACAGACGCACATCATTTTTAACCTGGGCATGTTGGGTAGCTATGTACTAGTCGTAACCTCATATTTTATATTTTACTAAAAAATGTAAAAAATAATACACACACACACATATGTGTGTGTGTGTGTGTGTGTATATATATATATATCATACATACTCATACATACAATAATTGGTGTTATATTATAGTGAGCTGTAGCTCGCGGTATACTGAGCCTAGGGTGACGGTAGGACGCTAGTTTGTGTCCTCTCGTTACCCTAAGGAGAACTATGGGGAAAAACACTGACCCCATAGTTCTCCTTTAAGCGCATTTTCCACTAAATTTTGGGTTGATAAAGAGTTGCACTAATACCGTGCAACTTATAAATATGCAACTGCCGCCATTTAATTCTACAGCATCTTGGCTTTCAGAAAATATCTAATGTTTTGGAGGTTTGAAGTAATTTTCAGGCCTAAAATGTGGATGATAACTTATGCAAAAATACGAGAGCAAAAAAAAAGGCCTTGGCAGCGGAAGGGTCCACAAGGGGTTCATTCAATCTGATCAGAGTAATTTGTATTGTTTCCCTGCAGTGTGTGTATGTGGCGGTGGGAAGAGGGATCTACGTTTACAACCTTCACACAAAGAGAGTGATTGCTTTTCAGAAGACCGCTCATGACTCCAGTATACAGCACATGGCAATCATCCCCAGCAGGTATCACGTCTGATTTATTACACGACGTCACGCTTTTTTTTTTCATTATTAATGCGTCATTCACACGAGAACAGGCCGGCATGTACAGCACCGTGCTGCGTGCACGGCCGTATCTGGCAGGTCCCGGGAAGGACAGGTGCTGCGTGTGATCAGTACACAGCCCATGTCCTTCTCCATGGGAGTAGGCGGCCGTACACCGCCCTGCACTCACCCGCCCTGCAAGTCCGTGTGGGTGTCCGTACTCGTATGCTGACAGGATGGATCCTCTCCGTGGCCATACGCCGCCCTACGCTCACCCCAAGTGCAGGTCCGGTGTGTGTGTCCCGGCACGGACGCAGACAGGATCCATCACACACAGCACCTAAAGAAACCAAAATAAATAGTGCATAGCAATTCCTCCTGCGCTGCACAGTAACCTTTCCCTGTATGTTTTGTACAGCTATGATGGAGTGCAGTTTAGTGTCCCTGAATTTGTCTTTTCTGTGCCCGATTTTGTTTTAATTGTAAGGCGCTAGATCCGTGGCTTTTGTAACACTGTATTGTGTTGGCCATATTCTGATCAATGTAAGGCTTGCATTGAGGCCTGCAGAGAATTGCACCCGCTATCAGTGCATCGCGAGTGCAGTGCACAGGCTGCCATCATGTTTACCTCCAGCTTCAGATCCATATGGGGGTATGGACCTGGCTCGAGGAAGTGCCGCTGAATCAGATCAGTGATGGAGGAGTGATCCTTTGCCCACTCTGAGTCTGCGTTGACAGATGGGAAGGGGCATCCCTAGCTTTTTTTGCCGCCTGAGGTGTGTGTGTGGTGGGTCTGTCACGGCTCTCTGCCGTGACAGGGGGAGGGGCTGGACTCCCCTCTCCCCGCTCCTATCTGCCAGCGCTGACTGGCGGAACGGACGGGGAGGGGGCGGGTACAGCTGGCTCTGCCTCTAGATAGACAGAGCCAGCTGTCAGTCACGCAGCTGGGCTGATCCAGACATAATCAGCGTCTCAGTATATAGGGAGCTACAGCTCCCTATATACTGAGCCTAGGGTGACAGGAGGATGCTTGTTGGTGTCCTCACGTTACCCTAAGGAGAACTATGGGGAAAAGACTTAACCCCTATAGTTCTCCTTTAAATAACAGCAGAGTGCTGCACCCTAAGAACAGCCCGCAATATCGGTAAAAGGGGGATATTTCAGATTTGGGGGGATTTATACGACTGTTTCTTGTAACAGCCAAAATATTTGTGTAACATGAAACACGATGTAAAAGGTGGACTTTATTTGGGGTGGGGTTTATTGAATTTGCACGACTCCTTAGATCCCTTGTACTGTATAAAGCCCGAGGAAGGCATCTAAGGAGTCTTTTTAAAAGCTCGAGTTTGCCAATTTAATGTATTACTTTCACTACACATTATACGCTTGGACTATTGTGAAATTATATTTTCACTTTGGGAGGAATACCCATTATGGTTACATTGTAGAATTTGTATATACAGTAAATAGTAGGGATGCGCCGAAACATATCGGCCGAAAATGGCACTTTTGGCTAAATGCCGAAAGTGCCATTTTCCTGCCGATACAGCGGCACATCCCTACCTTCTCTCCTCCACGCTGGGCTCTTCTGTGTGTCCCAGCGGGGAGGAGATAAACTGTGACAGCCGGCCGAGCGGGAGGAGAGTGCTGTGAGCGGCCAGTGTCTCCTCCCACACCGCTCAGCCTCCTATCACAGTCCGGCAGAGCGGTGTGGGGGCGGAGACAGCCAGCGATGTCACAGGAGGTGGAGTTGCATATAGACATACCGTAGTGCCGATCGCAGGCATATAGACATACCGTAGTGCCGATCGCAGGCATATAGACATACCGTAGTGCCGATCGCAGGCATATAGACATACCGTAGTGCCGATCGCAGGCATATAGACATACCGTAGTGCCGATCGCAGGCATATAGACATACCGTAGTGCCGATCGCAGGCATATAGACATACCGTAGTGCCGATCGCAGGCATATAGACATACCGTAGTGCCGATCGCAGGCATATAGACATACCGTAGTGCCATTTTTGTGGTAGTAATCTTTATAAGACAAGTTGTGCCTAAAATACTTACAGGACCTCAAGTGTAACATTGTGTAGCTTTCCATTTAATGGGCAAATGATGGAAGGAGATTGCTATTGTATTGTCCACTATGGGGCAATGTCTCCATTGTTTGCTATAGTGCAGACACCCAATGTGCAAGTACAAGGTAGTTATGGTGGAGTGCAATCTGATCCTTGCACTGACTGTATGAAGACCATTCCCCCCTGTGTATTTAGGGTGGCAATTCCTCTGATACGGCGGTGACATCTGCAGCTTCTATTACATTTTAGATCAGTGTAAAGGTGCCCACACACTGCTCGATTCTCGTACGAGAATCGCTGGAAATCCCGCGATCATACGAGAATCGAGCAGTGCGAACGAAGACGTGCGACCGTTTCTACTGTACGGTCGCACTTCTTTTGTCTGAGGAGCACGCTAGGAAACCAGGAGAAACCAGCTCGGGAGACAAATGCCGAACAGGCCGGTGTGCGCATGCGCACACTGCCCGTTCAGCATTGCGGTCATCGGAAGCCCACCCCTCAGGGGGGCGCGGCTTGCGATGATCGAGAGTACAATCTGCCTGTCCAAGATGGGCAGATCGTATGTTTTTTTATTACTTTACAACCATCGCAAGACTAAGGTCTTGCGATGGTTGTAAAGTGTATGGCCACCTTTAGATTTGTTGTGAACTGATTGCAGCGGTGAGCGTCCACTTGTAATCAGGCTCTATTTACACTCGTTGATTATCATATGCCTTTCACTTAGTCCTGGTTCACACCTAGGCGTATTGCATATGCGCGTCTGTTGCACGTTTTTTTAACCGCGATTCGCGTTAAACAAATTGCGCAACAAACATACCGGAAGTGATGCAATCTGCATCGCTCCCGGTCCCATAGAACGGGGAGGGGATCGATGAACACACAGACACAAAAGTCGCCGGGAGTCTGTTTAAACAGCCCCGATGCTGGCGACGTACACTGTACGTCGTCAGTCACGAAGGGGTTAAAGTACTCGATTTTCAAAGAATATTCCCATTCTCCCTTCCTAACCCCCCTATACATTCTGATGTGTCACTTCCCTCCAGGTCTATATTTACCTTCTCCCATGGCTGCGGCCCCCCTCATTGTCTGCAGCCGGGCTAGTATAGATCTAGTGCTGGGCTTCCCTCCGCAGCAAGCTGACAACCCATAGACTTCCATAGAGTCCTTGACTCTGAGCTCTCCTTTCAGCCCCACGTCCAATCATTATCCATATCTTGCCGACTCAACCTTTGTAACATTTCTAAAATACGCCCCTTTTTTTAACAAACGAAAACCACAAAGCTTCTAATTCACTCCCTTGTGATATCTCGCCCCGACTGCTGTAACTCCCTCCTTGTAGGCTTATCACTAAATAGGCTCCTCCCCCCGTTCCGTCTATCATGAATGCTGCTGCCAGACTCATCCACCTTACCAACCGTTCAGTGTCAGCAACCTCCCCCTCTGCCAATACCTCCTCTGGCTTCCAATTGCCCAACAAATACAATTCAAAATACTAACAACGACATACACAGCCATCTACAACTCCGCCCCCAACCTACATCACCGATCTCATCTCACAATATCACCCAAACCGTCCTCTCCGCTCCTCTCAAGACCTCCTGCTCTCTAGTTCTCTCATTACCTCCTCCCATGCTCACCTCCGGGACTTCTCCGGAGTGTCCCACAACCTCTGGAACTCCTTACCCCAATCTGCCCACCCTGAAGAGATGGGTTTTTAAGGATCGCCTATCTCATCTCAACATAACTGCCCTTTTATCTCTTCCAATAACTCAATCTAAAAATGTATTTCCTTTTGTATCACTTGCCCCTCCTACTATATTGTAAGCTCTCATGAGCAGGCCCCACCCCCCCCCCCCC